CTCCCTGGGGACCCTATACAGGGTCGCTATGGGTCCGAGTAGACTCAACGGCACTTACTTAACAATAACATCAACTGTGTTTTAAAGGACTGCTGGTAGCTTAGTGGTTACGAGTCGGGCTGCTAACCTTAAGGTCAGCAGTTTGAAACTACAAGTGGTTCCATGGGAGAAAGATGAGGCTTTCAGCTCCCGTCAAAAGTTACAGCCTCGGAAACCCTGTATACAGGGTCACTATAAGTCGGAATCAACTCCACGGCACTTCACCACCACCACTGCCACCACTGCATTGTGGGTGTGAGGAGGAAGTCTTCAATCAAAGCTCTGACCGCAAAAGAAAAAACTGGATTCACAAAACTAAATGCAAGTGGATAAAGGTAGCTGAGGAAGCTTAAAAATGAAAAGTGGAACAGAAATTTTCTTCTTTCTTATTTGAAATCTTGATACTCCTTCCCTCCCTGAATTAGATGCCCACCTCGAACCTCAGCTGCATGATATCTTTCTATCCTGCGTGTCCTACGTTGTAGCCTTGTCTTTCAGGGTGTACGTAGGTGTATCATAACCTAAACAAAAAACAAAACTAAATTGCTGTTAGGTTGATTCCAACTTATGGAGACTACAGGTGATTCAGGGTTGAGTTTTCAGTGGCTGTGAATGTTCACAAGTAAATCACCAGACCTTTCTGCTGCAGCTCCTCCAGGTGTGTTCGAATTGCCAACCTGTCAGTTAGCAACCAAGTGTTTGCCCCCGCAGTGATCTAACTGTGTGCACATCGCTGTCTTCTGTGAACATTTCAGTTGCAGAGAAAAGAGGACATCTCTGGGAAAAGCAAGATACTTGTTTAGTGACACAAAATGTGTCCACATGTATTGTATGAGAAAGCCAGGTAATTAAACAGTATCTGTTCTCCATTTTGGGGGAATAAAATGAGTGTTTGTGTGTATGTATTGTTGTTGTTGTTGAATGCCGTCCAGTCGGTTCCGACCCATAGCGACCTTGTATAGAGTTTCCGAGGAACCCCTGGTGAGCTTGAACCGCCGACCCGGCAGTTCAAACAGCTTCGCAGTCTGGCGCATTAACCCACAGCGCCACACCACAACTCCTGTGTGTCTGTAGATGTATAGAAAAGACTGAAGACCTGTACACACTGTTGAGGGACAGTTGGGGTTAGGATTAAGATTTAAAGGGACTTTTAATTTATAAGGAGTTCTTGTGTGATGCTGCATCAAAACTACTTCCTGCATCTTAAAAAATAATATGAATTATTTGGAATCCTTGGGTGATGCAGATAGTTGGATGTTTGAGGCCACTCAGAGGTGCCTTGGAAGAAAGTCCTGGCAATTCAGTCATTGAAAACCCTATGGAGCACAGATTTACTAGGACATATGCAATCACCATGAGCCAGCAACTGGTTCCAACTATTATGTTGATGGATGGAGATAAAAGGAAAAGAAAACACTGGTATTGGGGATGAATAACCAATGCATGGTAGTGATGCATTTGGTGCCGTGGAGTCGGTTCCCAGTTCCATTTTTAGCTGGTTCCCGAGGCTGTATAAGTCTTTTCAGGAGCAGAAAGCCTAATCTTTCTCCCACGGAACAGCTGGTAGTTTCGAACTGCTAACCTGGAGGTTAGCAGCACAACTCGTAACCACTATGCTACCAGAGCTCTTTACAAGAACACATGAGGTTTTGCAAAAGCTGCAAATTAAAGGACCCAAACCCAAACCCATGACTATTTGAGCCAATTCCTACTCCTAGCTACTCAGTAGAACAGAGTAGAACTGCCCCATTAGGGTTTCCTGGTCTGTAAACCTTGTTGGAAGCAAATTGCCTTCATGTGTCTTCATGGAGCGGCTGGTGACTTTGAACTGCCGATCTTTCACCAGGGTTCCAAATGGTAGAAATGTCTGGCTATGGCCGGGAATGCAGCCAGCCCTATTTCTGCGTGGCAGAAAGAGAGCATGCTGGGATCAAAGCCTGGGTATGACTGTTTTATTATAGCTTTGCAGATAATAATAAAATAGGTCAGGACTTAGTCAGTAATGTTACTATTATATATGTATGAAACAGTGAAACCTGTGAGAGCCAGAGCTTGGCGGGACTGCCTTGCTTTTCTGGGTCCCGTAAGTTCTCCACCTTTGACAGGGTGCAAACTTACCACTTTTCTGCCGCTAATTTTAGTGGAAAACTCTGGCAGATTTCTGCCTCATCCACGTTGTTTTGCTGTATTTCTAAGAAAGTAGACAGCAGTGTGTGACCATGTTTTATAGTACCTCCACGTTTAAAAATACTCAGTTTGGCTGTGATTACAGATATAGCAAAAGATAATTAGCAATTCCCCAAGAAGAACTATGTGGTGTGAGTCAAGATGGCACCTTTGACTAATGGTTATTGCGTTGAAACTGAGGTCGAGACAGTTGTCTTATAGTCCTCGCCATATCATTGGGTTACTGTGTAATTCACAATAATATATGACTTCTGCTTTCCTTCCCTGAACTCTTCTTCACATTATTAATCTAACTTAGTACATATAACGATATTTGCTAAACCACTGAAAGTGCTGGCACTTTTGCTGATATGCATTGGTGGGGGTTTTCGCCTTTCCCCTTTTATCTTTAGGTTTCATTTAAAATTCCCATCTTTCATATTTTGGTAAGAGATGACTTTAAGTGGAAATGTAATCTGAGTATTCTCTTTGATAAATGGACTCAGCATGGGCATTTTGAAGCCAAGTATTCCATCTGTAGTGTAAGTATTAAAGTATGGTGACATTCCAGAAGGAAGCCCAGACAGTTAAAGGACAGCTTTGCTGGGAGCCCAAAACAGCCAGGTGGAATCAATTTAGCAAAGCTCAAGACTTCTGGATTGATGGCCTCGAATCCACTGTCTCCTCACAGCTCTCATCTCAGGCCGTCATTTGGCCTATTGGAAGGAGCAGAGTAGAAAGAATGCCTTCCAAATGGAGTCCTGGGCTTTGAGGGTTCTTTGAAGAAGATCAGGCATCTAAAACTTGATGCCCATCTTAGGGTCCCTAGGTTGTGCTAACCTAAAGGTTGAAGGTTCGAGTCCACCCACAGTTGACTTGGAAGAAAAGCCTGACTGTTGACACCCCAAAAATCAGCCTCTGGAAATTTTGTGGCACACAGCTGTCTTGTGACACCCACGGAGTCTCCACGAGTCACAATTGAGTTGATAGCAACTGGGTTTTGTGTTGTTGTTAAGTACAGTCAAGTCAGTTCCGACTCATAGCGACCCTGTATAGGGTTTCCAAGGAGCAGTTCATGGGTTGGAACTGCTGACCTTATGGCTCACAGTCCAATGCTACCAGTCAGTGCCACACCAGGTTTTTATTGGTGTCTTTATGTGGAGGGGCCTTCAACAATTTGTAGTGTCTTCTACCTTGCCCCTCTACTGGTCAGCTGTGGGACCCATGACAAGTTAGCTCCGTCTCTGCAATTGTGCTGAGTCCTAATGTTCTTACCTGTAAAATGGAAATCATACCACCTGCCAGGCCTGAAGTCCTGGTGTGGTGCTTCGGATTAATGCACCTGGACCACAAGGTGAGTTTCAACTGCAAGGTCGATGATTCAAGCTCATCCGCCGCTCCATGGAAACCCTATACAAGCCTTGTTAGTGTTCTTAATATAAATGAGAAATGTATACCAAGCAGTATCAAAATGCTTAGATTCCCTATGATTATTGTTTTCTTTTTAATTGGCTTACATCTATATTCTCAGGATACAAAAAAGCAATTAAAGGCCTGCCGCCATGCTTGCTGGTTTTGTCTAAGGGACAATGGCTTAGGTCATCCTATGGCAAAGACTGCAAACGACCGCGTTAGTAATATTTATACATCATCAAATCCATGAAAGCATATATTCTATGTCTGCCCTTGTCCACTCAGCTCTGGACACTGACTGGCATGCCTCATGATCTTCTACTATGCCCCTCCTTCTTTCTCTGCGTCCCTCCGCCTTCCTTAGAACACCCCTTGCCTGGAGAGCTTGGGGCTCAACTTTACCCTTCCCCAAAGAAGCCTTCTGACACCCCAGACTAGGTTAGAACCATCTGTTTATCGTCACATGTGCTCTCTGTCTGCCTCCTCTACAGAGAAAGAATCCCTTCTGTATTATTCTGGCTACCTATACACATTATTGGAGTACTGGTGTGGCGCTGTGGGCTAATGCGTCAGACTGCAAAGTCGTTTGAACTGCAAGGTCGGTGGTTCAAGCTCACCAGCTGCTCCTTGGAAACCCTATACAGGGTCGCTATGGGTCGGAATCAACTCGACGGCACTTAACAACAACAACATGCACATTATTAAGGTGCTCTGGTAGCGTAGGGGTTACGAGTTGAGGTGCTAACCTCAGAGTCAGCAGTTCGAAACTACCAGCCATTCCGTGGGAGAAAGATGAGGCTTTCTGCTCCCTTAAAGATTTAACAGCCTCAGAAGTCCTATGCAGGTTTGCTAGGAGTCACAACTGACTTGATAGCACTTAGTAACAACAAACTAACAGCACTTAATAACACAACTATTTTTCAGAAGCTTGCCCTCCCCCAGAATTTGTAAGTAAGCTCAAAGAGGCAAGGTCCATGCCAGGTAGACCTGGAGTGGTGGATGTGTGCATCACGCCTGGTGTTCAGGTAAATGAATGTATACACGCGTGATGTGCACACATCCCCAGATCTAAGGCCCATCTGCTTGATAACAGTCCTTCCTGGTGGAGCACTGCAGGATAATGCATTGGACTACAAGGTTGGTTTGAACCTCAAAGCCAGCGGTTCAAACCACCAGCCGCTCCTCAGAAACCCTAGACAAAGCTGCTACAAGTCAGAACTGACTCTGTGACACTTAACATCTTTTATAAAGTACCCAGATCCTTCAGATGAATGAAAGATTTCCATCCTTGTTGTTGAATCTCCATTTCTCCTTTACATAGTTTATGTTCTTGAACGGGAGATGCGGTTTGTAATGTCTTTGTTTACTTTGTCTTCCTCCAGCTCCTACAGAAGAATGGGCAGCTATCATCTGTCAGTGGCTCAGCTGAGCAGGGTGAGGTCAGCATCCAGGAGGGAGACCTGAGGGGCCCCGAGGAAGAAGTCGTCACAAACGGTAAGTTACCTTCCCAGTAAGAGTGCCTGGAATGGAGAAAAACAGTAGAGAACCATCACCGGCCTCCATGGAAGCGAGGCTGTAATTCTACCTGATGGTGGATGATGGTTGCAAGAACCAGTGAGCTTCAAAAGGAAGTGTTTCTCTGACCCTACACACACATGGGCTAATGCGTCAGACTGCAAAGTCGTTTGAACTGCAAAGTCAGTGGTTCAAGCTCACCAGCTGCTCCTTGGAAACCCTATACAGGGTCGCTATGTGTCGGAATCGACTCGACGGCACTTAACAACAACAACACCAACATACACATCCTAAGCTAAAACTTAGTGTTTTTTCATTACTGTGCTTTCATCTCAGCTACTTGCCTAGTATCAAATGTGAATTCTTTTCTCTTTCTTTTTAATAATTTCTTTGTTTTTGAGAGTAGGCACATCAGAACACACACCAATTCTACAATTTAGTGATACTGATGGCATACTTCCAGCTGTGCTATCATTTTCACACTCCTCCTCTGAATTGTCCCTCCTCCATTAACGACACCATGGTTTCTTGAAATAAACAGATAGTCCCTCCTCATCTATAGCCCGTGAAATGAACACGAGAAAGTAAGGAACCCTCCCTTCCTCAAGGTGACCCCTTGAGGATTAGGATTGTTTCTGTTTCTAGTCTTTGTTGTTGTTATTGAGTGTATACAGCAGAAAAGACACAATTCAACAGTTTCCACATGTATGTACCAAGTCTAGTGACAGTGATTAGTCTTCGAGTTGTGTGCCCACTTTTCTGTGTTCTTCCTTCTCTGTTAACGTGAACTCACTCAAGCTTCCTGTCTAACCTGTTAGGTATTGTTGTTACTTTGATCCCATAAAAAAGGTCATAAAAGAGCACAGTGCTCTAGGCAGACATTCTTTCCCAGCTAACCCAAATCATTGTTTGGTTTTAATAAGACCTAAGACCTCAGGGGATACTTTTGGTTTAAGGTTTAAACAGTTATATTAGAGCAATCACTTCAGGGGTTCATATAGCCTCTATGAATCCGGAAAGTCTCCATTCCTCAAGAATTTGAAATTCTGTTTTGCGTTTCCCTCCTTTTGGTCAGGTTTTTGTTTTTTTTTTTAATAATGTGTGTGTTTTTTAAATAATTATTTTCTGTATGTACAATTCAGTGATACTGATTACATTCTGGAAACATTGGAACCGTCTCAACCATTGTCCAGAGATGCCTGTTAAACTTACTTGCACCTTGACATGTCCACTTACAGAGTTTTCTGAGTGTGTACATTTCAAGGCAGACACCTCCCTTTGTTGAATGTGACGTAATGCTTGTTTTAAAATTTTTGAGCCTCGAGATCCTAAAACAACAACAAAACCAGCCCCTTGCCATCACTAAAGTTCTGACTCGTGATGTCCCCATGTGTTACAGAGTAGAATTGAAGCCCTGAGTTTCATCGTCTGTAATTTGACAGAAGCAGATCACCAGGCCTTTCTTCCACAGTGCAAACTACTTGTGCACCCGGGTCCTTGGAGAGGGTCTTGGAGCAGTGTTTATTGGAGAGTGAGTCTTTCACCACACACCACTAGTTTGATTTTAAGCCTAGGTGGGATGTGGGGAAAACATACTTTGAGTGGTAGTTCTCCCAGGAGAGGCCACATGTTGGAGAATCTTCCTGTACTCATTTCATTGTTCAGCTTATTCATAATTTAAGCAAATAATTTGATGATCACTGTGGGAGTCCTGGTGTGACGCTGGACTGAAAAGTCAGTTTCAACTGCAAGGTCAATGGTTCAAGCTCACCAGCTGCTCCTTGGAAACCCTGTACAGTGTCGCTACAGGTCGGAACCAACTCAACCGCACTTAACAACAACAACCTGGAAGGTATTTTGGACCATGGTAGCTCTGTAGGATAAGCACTGGTCTGTTAACCCATGAGCCACTCCTCAGGAGAAAGATGAAGCTTTCTGCTCCTGTAAAGATTTACATGGTACTTTTAGTACCAGAAGAACAAACAAATCTGTGTTGAAAAAGTATAGCTAGATACTCCTTAGAAGCCAGGAGAGCAAGACTTCGTCTCTCATACTTCGGACATGTTATTAGGAGGGACCAGGCCCTGGGGGACATCATCCTAGTAAAGGAAGACCTCCAAGGAGATGGACTGATACAATGGCAGCTGTGGGCTCAAGAATAACAGCAGTGTGGGATGACACAGTGTCAGGCAGTGTTTCATTCTGTTGGACGTAGGAACTGACTTCACGGCACCAGCAGGGTAGATTTACAGCCGTGAAACGCTATGAATTGTAGTCAATTCAATGGCAGTAGTTGGGATTTTTTTTTTTTTTTAATGGATGCCAAGGGACAGTGATAGCTCAGCGATCGAGTTCTCACAGTCCACGTCGGAAACCCAGGTTCAGTTCCTGGCCAGTACACCCTATGCACACTTACTTCTCTGTCAGTGGAGGCTTGTGTGTTACTATGATGTTGGATGAGTTCCAGTGAAGCTTCCAGACTAAGATGGCCCAGGAACAAATGTCTGGCCATCTACTTCCAAAAAGCAGCCAATGAAAATCCTACGGATCACCAAAGTCCCATCTGCAACCAGTTGTGGGGATGGAACATGTTGTGCATGGCAACAATGGCAGGGACAGAAAATTATAATAGCTTAACATGCAGTAAATTGGCTCAGATATCATGTAAATAAGGGACAAGTGAAGGGCAAAGTCCTGTGAAAGATGAGTTCGATAAAATTCTCCCAGCCCCAGTGAGTGGAACCTGTTTGTCTTTTTGCTCAGTTCTCCATAGGAGCTGGTTTTGAAGTTGGTGGGAATGCTGTTCTGACTTGTGGAGCCCCCTAGGCACAACATAAAGTTAAAAACACACAATCTCACAGGCCTGCTGGGAGGGTTTCTAATAATTCCCACTAAAATAATAGCAGATTCCCAAGCCCCACACTTTGTCCTTCCCTTGAATCATTTCAAACTACAATAAAGTTTGAGCTGACTGTGTCCAAGCCCCCCTATGTTTGAGGCTTCTGGAAAGATGAAAGGAACCAAGGATACTTCCCACCGTCAGAGGAGAACAGAAACTTGTCTATGGAAGGATAAATAAGTTAAAAATAAGGTTAAGACAGGGCAACTTGGTGATCAAGTTTGTTAAGAGTTAAGCGTTCAGAGTTCTAATCATTGGGTATCAGAGGGTAGAATGAGATCTGGGGAGCGGGGGCAGTAAGGGAAAGTTGGATTTAGATATCCTGAGATACGGGAGGCCAGTAAAAGTGAGAAGAATGTTATTCTCACTGATTATTGGTTCTCACTTATATATTAGGCCACGAACTGTACTTCTTGTATTCTGTTGCCTTTAATAATTATAGCGCTCTCTGAGGGAGCTGGTGTTGGTCTCAGGATTCAGGTTAGCAGATTCCAGAGCTTGGACTGTTTCAGCGCAGGGCGTGTGCAGAGCTTGTGTGTTACAGCAAGGATTTTGTTGAAGAGTCAGAAGGAAGCTGGAGCTGAGTAAGGGACTGCTGGGAGTGGAGGTGGGGGGGCTGCCAGAGTCAGTCCCCAATTGATGGAGATCCCAAGTGCAAGGAGACTCAACCTGCTGGTGCCAGCCCCTCCCCCTCTTACTATTCTCCCTCCCATGATCAGTTGCAGACTGGGTCATTGTGAGTTTTCATTGGCTGCTTTTGGGGAAAAGATCGCTTGAAGCTTAGTCTTGAAGCTCTGGCTGCAACCCATTCAGCGTCCTAGCAACACACTGCCAGACGGAGGTGCATCAACTGGAAATGTTGCCCAGGTCTCCTGCATGAAAGGCAAGAACTCTACCACTGAAACCACCACTGCCCCCACAGGGCTGGATGATAGGGCTCAGAGTGTTATTTTGCTGTTGTTGTTAAGGGACGTTAAGTTGATTCCGACCCTGTATAGGATTTCCAAGGAATGACTGGTGAGTTTGAACCTCAAACTCAAACTGACTTTGCAGTCGGGCACATTAACCCACAACCCCACAAGGGAGTATTTAGTAGAAGATTTGGGATCACTGTAATCATCTGACACTGTGGAGGATGAATCAGTGGAGCCTGTATTTCTATACAATCCGGGAGTACCGGGGAGGCCTTTGTCATCTGCTGAGTGTTTACTTCCTTTGGTCCAGATGGGATTCCTTTCCCTTTTCAGCTCTGTGGGTAAACACTGATTTCTATAGGGAGTGTCTGCCTACTCCCTGTAATTGTTCTATTGTCTCCCAGACCCCAAGGCCTGGTGGTCCCAGCAAATGCCCCACTTTTGGGATGAGTTGGTGCCCTTTTAGGCAGAACCGTGATACCCTTGGCTTATTTTAGGGTCTTGAAGGTACATTTGATTTTTGTTTTATTTTTTTCTCTTCTAGTTCCTCTTATCAGGCCGATATAATATCAGCCTGGCGATATAAATCCAGATGTAGTCTTCATGTTGAAGTAATTTTCATGCTTTTCTTTTAACACCAGTCATAGCATATGATTACATTTTATTGTTCTTTCTGGAAATCAGAATTTTGTATGAAAACATATTGTCCTGTTAACAGAGGATATTAACTTAGAACGTAAGTATTTAATTGTAGATGTTTGAGGGCCTTGGTTTCAGCCAAGGAGACTTGCTGGTGTACTGGGTTAAGCGTTGGTCTAGGTTGGTGGTTCAAATTGCTCCCAGAAAGATAGAAGGCTACTATGAGTGGAATCCACCCCATGGCACTGGGTCTGGTCAGGTTTAGTTTCTACTGCTGTTCAGTTCTATAGCAACAGCCCTGACCCATCTTGGTCCTTGGAGGATTGACCCATTCCAGGTATTTGGATTTTCTGTGGGCTAATAATACAAGGAGCTCTGGTAGTGTAGTGGTTACGAATCAGGCTGTGAACCACAAGGTCAGCAGTTCGAAACTACCAGCTGCTCCACAGGAGAAAGATGAGGCTTTCTGCTCCCGTAAAGATTTACAGCCTCAGAAACCCTGTACAGGGTTGTTATGGGTCTGAACCGACTCGATGGCACTTAACAACAACAATAATACAGTAAGTTAGTGGGAGAAAATGAACAAGGCATTCTTACCAGTGGGTTTTATTTTAAATCACAGAC